ACACACACACACACACACACACACACACACAAATGCACGCAGAAGCCTGTAAAAACAAAGCACGCGCACGCACAGGCACACAAATAAGTACCAATATAAATATCAGCACTTGTCTTGTATGCCAGTGTACGCACATAACCTTTTATTAATATTAATATATAAATATATATGTATATTTGTATATGAATATATATGCGTATAATTTACACATCAAATGTGTAGAAAAAGTTGCAAGAATACTAATATTGTCCGAGAGGCCAACTGGAGCACGCTATGTTAGTAATGCTACTAAGATGCTCCCACATGCTTAGCATAGCTATGCTAGACTTTTCGATCCTGATCTGTTTGCATTCAGTTAGTACCCACCACCTGCTAAACGTGTTTGCGCCTACTCCTTGATGTCCGATCGAGTAGGCGCTTTTTCCCTCACGGAATCACTCACTAATCCACAACGTCCACGGTTGCCGAAAAGATGAGCAACAATCCCTTCCCATCGCGTTTCCTTTTTCGCATGGCCTTAATGATAACTTGCACGCTGCCCATCTGACGGAGAGTAATACAGTCTATAGGGTTGCGAAGAGGCGGGCCAAGCATGCCTTGCTCAGTCGCTCCTTCCGTGACAGCCAGCGCTCGCTCTTCAACTTCCGTTACCAACCAAGTCTTGCATTTGCATATCATTCCCTTCAGCACGATGGTAAGTGAAAAGGTGAGCACTGTCATTCCGTCTCGATACCTGAAGTTCATCGGCAATGCTGTGAAATTTGCACCAACCAACACCCCGCTCACGTGCAATCTCCGGTTGGAGATCGCGGAGCATATTTACTGTTCAAGATAGACACAGCCTTCAACACGTCTGATTGCAGTCTTGGCAGAGGTGTAAAAAAATCCCTGTAAAATCGAAAAAGTGTGCTCCGGTGTATCTTCCGGTAACTACCTTCTACAGTGCCATCGTTTTGTTCCAAAGAAAGCATAAAATAAAAATTGTTTACACAAAAAAATTCGGAACGTGAACCTTTCTGCGGGTCATCTGGAGTGAACGCCGGCAAACTTGCGAATTTTTTTTCGAAATCCACTTGGTTAAGAACCCTAAACAATTTTAAACGATACAAATAGGCCAGGAAATATTATTCATATTACGGGACCGAAAAAGCGTGCTATCACATATTTACCAATAACTAACCTGTCCATCACGTCATCGTTTCGTTTAAAAAGCTTTTTTATTGGGCTTCTTAACTCAATTTCTTCATCATTCCGCAGTCTATTTGGAACAGTTACAGCATTATCCACAACGAATGGTGTTGTTCCCGCTTCCTTACCAGTTTTCTGTAGAAAAAGAAAAAAGTAGCAAACTGTATTCTTTAACAGTTGTAAAAACGCAATAAGTAATTACCGAATATTGGGCTTCCAAAACTTCTTGCGGCTTTTCAATTTCGCTGGCTTCTGAAATCCAACACTACATATGCTCAATAAATAATTTTAGCTTGCATCTGTTGCACCAAAAATTCGGCCTTATTATCTCCTGTTACCATAGAATGATTAATTTTAACTACATACAACTTTAACCTGATTCAGCTCCAAAAATAACACTTCGCAGAGATTGACATTTCAGAAAATAGCTGACTGCTTATTTGTCTGATCTTTCAGCAACTAACTAATAAACATGCGATTAACAGGAACTTACCGGCATCCGAAGCTACTTCATTTGAATTCAGTAACTGCATCACACATCGTTTCACACTCAAATTCAGCTCATTTGACAGTTCTAAATGGCGGTAAATCCCAGTCCAGTCATTTTAAATGACAAATAAGCCAATAAGGAGCAGCTATTTTACCAGCAGATGCTTGTTGCCAAGTAGCGCTGCTTTTTCGGGCAGATTTTTTTAGCAAAATGAATGTAAATATGCCCCAAATTCGGATCCGTTAATATCATTTCTGTTTCCATGGTTTTAAGGTGTCATGTAAAAACTGTTAACGTCAAACTGCACCGTACATGCTTAAAGCATGGATCATGTATACAAGCGTAGCTACTGTGGTTTTGGAATTGCGAAGAAGTCAGCGTCAAATGCACGCGCTCGTATGCCAGATGCAGTAGGGACGTGGAAGTTGTTTTGGAGCAGATCTCAAACGTGCTCGTGGGTTATGCTTAGAAAATTTCAGTCCCGCAGCTGCTTTACTTTTGCAATAGCGTCAAACTCACGTTTCATACATGACAGGTGACACAGAATCAATGTTGTTTTCACGTGCACTTTCTCAGACACGATCGTAAACCACGGTCAGGAAATTCAAGCACCCTAGCTGCATTAATTAACTGAATGCACCGAATTTCACTAACCTCTACATAAAATGTAAGGAGAGCGAAAACTCAATTATTTTCTGCAGCACATAATCGGACAGCAAATAATATCGTAAAACTGTTAGCTCTCTACACCTTTCTGACCAGTCTCTTTCGTGTTGGCATGGTGCCGGATTTCTTGAACTTTAACGCGCACGTAACAAGATCTGGGGTACAAGAAGGCTAACTTTAAATTCTTTGAATCTTAAACGGGCAAGTAACATCTCTGTAAAGTTTTAGCCTTCTCGCTTTTTCGACTCCTGGGATCGTTTTCCCGCTAAAATATCTTCCATGCGTCGTAGGTAGGAGCTATGTGCACGTGAGTGTTCATTGTGCGTCTAAGACATTCACAGC